CGAAAAAAATTAAACGCGGCCTTACGTATCTCCGGCCACGTAAATCACGGTCTCCAGAAACGTCCACGTGGCTACGTTTCCAGAATGAGCTTGGGTTGGATTATAAATATCACTAGGTAGGGGTGTAAAGATGCACTCAATCACGGTTCAATGCTAAACGCATGATATGTTATTATCTCAATGTTGTATACTCTGTGGCTACTCAGTGGTTAGTATTATCGCCTCACAGCAAGAAGGTCGCTGGTTTGAGTCCCACCTGTGCCTGTTGTCCTTTATGTGTGGGGACTAAGGGACTAAGCTGAAGGAGAATGAATGAATGAATGATATGTAGACCAACTGTTTGTTGAAATGCTAAATTTTGGATTGGTGTAGGGTGGTGGGCTTTAAATTAGTCTTGCAGGACCTAATCATAATTTGGAAGATGAATCAATTATAACACATGTGCTTGCGCTCTGTCATGGACCAAGGTTATTATACACTGTGAACAAATCCGTAATTTTTGCGGTTTATTTTTGGCAGCTAGGGCGCCAGAAAAAAAAAACGTAAAATAACAGCCGTTAAATTACAGACATTTACAGTAAAATAACGGATATTAAATTACAAAAAATTACCAGAAATGTAAATTTAAGGAAATTTAGGGTGCTTTCACACTAGCACCTTTGGTTCTCACCTGGGTTCGTTTGACGTCATAGTACGGTACGTTTAGCTAGTGTGAACGTGTCTTCTAAACTCGGGTGCGCACCCGTGAATTGTACCCGAGTCCGCCTGAAGGAGATGGTGTGGTGTCCGGTTCATGCGAACTCTGGTACGGTTCACTTCTGATGTGAATGCAAATGTACCAAAAAACGGAGCTGAACCGCCGACTGTACAACAAACTATCGTTTTCATAACGTTCGCTCTTGTGAGTGTGTCACGTTTCGTACCTTGGTGACTGAGCCAGGGCAAACACAGTGAAACACAGTGATGCATGTCTTCTCCAAAAGCAGCTTCGTCAGACACTGTGTGATGTTCTGAATGTGTATAATATTTTTGTGGCAGATGGACACGAGTCTCTTTCTGTATGTCCAAAATCAAAAGCTTCAGTTAAAGCTGAATGACCGAATGTGCGGACGTCTTTCCATTTCGGCGCTTACTTGTGTGACCGCCACCTAGCAATGGCCGTAAACAAAGCAGCAGCTCGATGACGCAAGCGTTCCAGGGTTCAGAAGGAAAAAAGACAGTGTGAACACAAACCAACCGAGAATGTTGCAAAGGGAGACAATCAAACTTTGGTACGGTCCAGACTATTGAACTATTGAAATTGTAAATTTCTGTGATTTAACCCCAGAAACAGCCTTGCACACATATTGAACTATCATGTGGGCTGTTGTGTTTGAATTTGAGGATGGGTAGATGGTAGTGGAAGATGGTAGTGGTGATGTGTCCTCTAAATTTAGTTCAAAAAATATACCTTTGGTTGAGTTATTATAAAGTATTCTGATGATTTTGTGTCTTTTACCCAACAAATATTGTAATTTATAAAAAAAATTATAATAAAATAAAACTAATTCTGAAACTAATAAAAATTAATAAATATAGAAACTAATAAAAATGAGTAAATCTGCCTCTAAAAGTAATTACAACTGAATTTGAAAACAAAGTCAAAAGAAAAAATAATTAAAACTAATAAAAAATCCCAAACTATTATACCCTTGTCATGCACTACATATAATAGAGAATTCTCTGTGGTAAAATCAGACTTTTGTCATTTATCAGACTCCCTCTTGATTTAATTCTAATCCCATTAGATTCAACGAGTTAATTAAGTTTAATCACATATGAGGTATGTATAAATCTTGTCAGAATCTTTGACTATTATTTTTTATGGCCCCCTTGAAAAGTTAATGTGACAGAGTGGCTCTGTTCCAAAACACAGTGAGCTGTTTCTGTCTGCTGCCTACATCGCAGCTATTTACTCTGAAGGCAGACCATAACTGATTCATGACTGACCTGGAATGCTTGGGGCTGAACATCTGTATGCCATACAAATAACGCTTCTTACACAAATCACACAAGAGACTATTGATTCCAAGCGTAGTCTGTAAAATATAAATGGACGGCCTGTCTCCACTTCCTTCTGCTGTAGAAAAGTAAAGCCAGAATGGACAAAAGTATGGCTGCTGCCTGCTTTCGGTCAGCCTATCAAAGCCTTTCCTGAATTACTGGAGACCAAAGCGTAATCCCAATCAATCAAGCAGTCAATCAATCAATCAATCAATCAATCAATCAGTCAGTCAGTCAGTCAGTCAGTCAACCAGTCAGTCAGTCAGTCAGTCAGTCAACCAACCAACCAATATTCAGTAAATAATAATATTCAGAATAAACTCAGAAGCAATAGAGTAAAATGTGAGTATGGGACTGGACTAAGAATGAGGCGGTTTTATTGGTTAATGGCCGATCTTACATGGCTTTCCATTTATTTTCCTTTGACTTAGTCCCTTATTTGTCAGGGGTGGCCACA